TTCTGTGTTTTACAGGAATCCTGTTGCTTCCTAATTATCAATATTTGATGAGTTGCTCAACAGTTCAGGATTCCTTGAAACGTGACAGGTGTTCACAGGTGAGAAGTTGGACGACAGCAGAAACCAGCAACCACACAGTCGATCAGCGGTCACTGCAGTAAACGTCTGATTAGCAGGAAATCAGTAATAAGAAATCTGTTCAATGAGGCTCAACACAGAGTCAGTTTCAGTCTGTTGCTTCACTGCGTTTATTACTTCTCTTTAGGTTTGTTGTTGAGGTAAACAAAAACAACAATAAAAACATTATAATTAACAATAATTCAAATACAACAACAATAGTAATTACTTTTATTATTGTTATTACAGTTATTACTATAATAATGATGATGATGATAATAATAACAACAATTATTATTGTTATTATTATTAATATTATTATTCTTTGGGTTTAAGAAAGACAGTTTAAAAGTTTCTCATGATGCTTTGCAGCGACTCCACCTGCTGGTCGACCCCCTTATTTACGTCTCCTGTCGGTGACGACACAGAACGTGTGACACAGTGATTAGGTGACTCTGGTTGTGAAATGTTAAAACAATATCAAGTTCATATGACCTGTTGTGATTGATCAGCTTAACAAAGTTTTACTGATCAGCAGCTGAATGTCACAGTTTCTGATTGGACTACAAAAATGGCTGACAAGCTGGACTCACTGTAGAAATGCATGCTGGGTATCAGAACCACATGTGGCACTGAGCAAGCAGTGAGCTCCAAGCTGCAACCCTGTACCAGTTCAGACCGGTTTGAAACAGGTTAACCACACAGTTCTACCAGCCATGACCCCATACCTGCTGTATCCACACACCTGTCACAGGCCACTGGCCACGCCCCCTCCCTCGTGGTGTCCATAGAGGTCAGCAAGCTTCCTGAACCTCGGCCCCCACTCTCTAAGGAACTCATAACTCTGCTCAGACTCTAACGAGCTTAACGAGTTTAGCGAGCTGAATGACTCGGCGGCCGACCCGGTGCCCTCGAACGCATAAGTCTGCAGAGAGTCGTAGGGCGGCGCTGCCAGGTCCAGGTCGGCCTCCTTGAGCCGGTCTCTGATGAACTCCTGGAAGAGCCTGTTTTTGTCCTTCCGGGACTCCAGCGTTCCGGTGGGTGGTGGTGGCGGCAGCGACTCGATGGCGTCACAGCTGGTCAGTTGCATTTGGTTCAGGTGTCTAAGAGCAAACATGTCAAAGGCCTCGGTGTCTTCCTCTCCTCCGCCTTCATCATCGTAACAAACAATGTTCTCACGGACGTCTCGCTCATCACCCATCAACAGAGGCTCCCTCCTTCTGCAGTTGATGGCAACCGTTACCATGACAACACCTGAGGAGACAGGAGGGGGCGGAGTCACAATAACAACATAGCAAGGTAATGGTAACAGCAATGACTCTGAAGTCCAATTTAATATTGTTGTCTTTAACGGGCTTTTTTTTTTTTTTTGCCTTTTACTGAAAAAGCCGTGAAAGATAGACAAAACTGGGGAGAAGAATGGGGGAGAGACCTGCAGCAAACTGCCGTGGGCGGGACTTGAACCCACGACTGCTGCATCGGGGACTATAGCCCCTGTATATGAGGTGCCGTCTCATCTAGCTGAGCTACCGGTGCACCCCCTGTAGTCCAATTTAAAATGAGAAAAAATCTACATAAGTTCTAAACATTAAATTCTGCAGAAATATTCTTTGATATGTCTAAGAAAATCTTTTTTTTCCACCTTTAATGATAGTTGACAGAGAAACGTGGGGAGGAGAGTGGAGGAATGACATGCAGCAAATGAGCCGCCGGCTGGAATCGAACCGCAGCTGTTGCATCAGGGATTATATCCCCTGGACATAGGTCGCCCGCCCTACCTACCGAGCTATCATGTCTAAGAATATCTGATACACCTGAGAATCTCTGGAACACCAGTCGCATCTCAGACATCTGAAAAAACCGGAGAACACCTGAGGGGAAGGGCCTTTACAGCCTGTAAATCTGAAGATCGTGTACAGGCAGAAATAACCTTTAACAGCATCTGTAAATGCTTGAGATCCCTGGGACACCCGAGAGCATCTGCAAGCATTGAGACACCAAAGAACACCCGCGACCTCCTGAGAGGATTTGTGATACCTGAGAATATTAGTGACACCTGAGAGCATCCGAAAACACCTGAGAATACCTAAACACAGGGGCGGGGCCTCTTTAGGCTGTAAGTCTGAAGATGGTGTACAGGCTCAATGCACAACCCAAAGAGGCAGGGCTGTGTTGTACACCTGGTCTGCATTAAACGACCTGCAACATCTCCTTCATAAGTAATTGGAAGGGTGGGGTGTAGAGCTGGTGACATCATGCCTCTACAAGGTTGTACCCAGCAGTGTGAGAATGCAGGTGAGGAGAACAGCAGCGGAGGTGCTGAGGCCATCTGGCAGCTCCGCCCCCTGGCTGCAGTGGCGGCGGCTCCCGTGGACATCGCAATCGCAGACAGTGACAGTCAGCGTGTTTGTGCTGCTCAGAGACGGAATGCCGCCGTCAGAAATCACCACCGGCAGGAAGTGGAGTGGCTGTTCCTGTCGCACAAAACCAGCTCGTCGAGTCAGGACAGATGCTGTGTTGTCTGAGGATGACAGATGACAGGAGGGCACACCTGAGTGATGTCAGCAGGTGTGAAACAGGTGAATCAAAGTTATGGTGGACCATACCATTGTTGTCTCTCAGGGTGAAACTCAGGTTCCAGGCAGCCTCAGCACCCACAGAAAACAGGAACTGATGTCCATTCTCCGGTTCATCTGGATCCACTGCACTCAGAGTCTCAACAACCTGCAGGACAAGACAGACATCAAACTGAGGCCGAGAGCAAAGATCCAGCAGGGAACATCTCCACCGACAGGTGAACATCTGCACCCACAGGTGAACATCTGCACCCACANCGTTCTGCTGATGTTCTGCTGACGTTCTGCTGACGTTCTGCTGACGTTCTGCTGATGTTCTGTTGGGTCAGTTGGTTGATCTCATGCATCTCCAGCGTTACTTTAATAAAGAGCAGAGATCTGCAGCCTTCATTCATTATTGGGAGGAACAGACTGAAACTCAGCTCTCTGTGATCCATCCACCTGATGACACTGTTGGTTCCTGTTTAACATTTATGGAACGTTTACTGAATGTTTACACTTACAGGAACTTTGAGGCCCCAACACCAGCCTGGTGTGAACATTTTGCACTTTCCTCCATTGTCAAGATCCAGTAGGTAAAGATCACCACCGTGGCGTGAGCTGGATCCTTCCAGTCCCCATCTGATGGAAGCTGGAGCTTCATTCCTGGAGGTCCTGAACCCTGAAAATGACGTCACGTTTCTTTGAGAGGAAAAATACAAAATGTCACAGATCTGAAAACAGATTAAATTCTCAAAATACAGACAAAATATTTCTACAGAACTTAGTTTGGGGTCGGGCTGCAGGTGNGCAGGTTTAAATTGTGTCAAAATGGAGGTCAGACGGGCATGAGGGTCCAACGCAGACCGAGGACCCGACCAACGCTGCTTGCAGCTTTAATTTAATGTGCAACTGCTTCATTCTTTCAGTATCCATCAAAAAACCTGGAATATTGTTGTTTTTAATGTTGGGATGATACTTTTCTTGCATGAGTTTTAGGAATGTTAAGGATTAACTGTTAATTTTAGTTAAAAATGTAACATATTAAACGTATATTAACTGATGACTCAGAAGAAAACGTTCATACAAGTCAGTAAATGTACCATAGACCAGCTGCAGTACCTGGTTGTTCCACCAGGTGGAGCCTCTTCCTGTTTAACCCTGTAGAGGAGGCGTCTACAGACTACAGCTCATGGTGGCAGCAGAGAGCATTGTGGGAGTTTAGCAGCAACGGGACCATGACAGAGACTCTGAGGAGGTTCAGGACCTCCAAGCAGAACTGATGAGCTAAAGTCAGACTGAAACCAAACAGGACGGAGTTCTTCAGCTGAGCCTCGCCTGTAGTCTGTGGATTATTTTATACACAGAACAACCTCCTCTGACTTCCTGTATTTTACTAATTAACTAATTGTTAAATTGTAAACTTTCATTTCAACAAATTGTTTAAATTTGCATCCCCTGATTAAAATAGTGTCGGTGTTATGAGTGTATAGTTTTTAACAGCAGGGCGATGCAGTACCGTCCCGCATCATGTGTGTACATCTACCTGCAGTATATCAGGATATTAATATATCCCTGTAGTACTGCAGGGATATATTAATATCCTGATATACCGGACCCCGCCGTATGTTAGTCACTTATACATTTAAAGGCCAGTGGAGTTGAGCTGGACGGAGTTTCACAGCTTCAGCTGATGCTGTCTGACCTTCCACCTCTGCAGCCTTCGGACTCGGAGCGAAGCCTCCAGAGAGGCCACAGCTTCAACGCCAGCACCGGCCGCTACAGCGCTCCGGTGTCCGGCTTCTACCAGCTCACCGCCAGCCTGCTCATTGGTCAGTACCTGTCACACAACACCTGACACCGCCACCTGCTCTGAACCCAGAACCTGCCGGCAGGTTTCAAGGTTTTCAGTAAAAAGACGTTTTAAATATTCAACAACACGACACTATCCATCGACTAGGAACTGTTCTACATCAGCAGCCTTCCACAATCATCCATTATTTCTGCAGGGCCAGACCACCTGTGGACACCCCCGCAGTCGCACCACTTTGGACTGGTCCAACCTGACGGAGGCCGTTAGGTTTAACTGGTGTAACTGGTTCAATAGTCAAACTGACTGACAACATGTCAGACTGATAGAACAACAGCTACACACACAAGAAAACCAAGAAAGACACAAAACAGCAACAACAGAGACACAAGCACGAAACACACAACAAACACAAAGACAAGCTGCCAAAAGACACACAACGGGCTGGACGGCGCCGCCCAGAAAGGGTAGAAACGACCAAACAGAAGGAAAGCCGATGCAGAGATACGACAACAGCAAGAGACAGCAAACAAAAAGAGACGCACAAGCAGCTCCGACAGGGCGAGAGTAGACGTTACAGAGTTTAGCTGTCAGGGTTAGTTAGTTAGTTAGTTAGTTAGTTAGTTAGTTAGTTAGTTAGTTAGGTAGGTAGGTAGGTAGGGTTTATCCTCAGTAGTTGGTGTGCAGCAGCATGACTCTTGTGTGTTTTCTGTCAGAGTCTGCAGAGCGAGTCCAGGTTCGGCTCCGAGACAGCGTGAGAGCAGCGATCTGCATCGAGTCGCTCTGCCAGAGCAACCTGTGAGTATTCCTCCATTATCAGCAGGACAGACAATAAGTCCAACACTTGAAGCAGTTCTGGTCATTGTGGCTTCTCAGGAGAACCGACTCTTTTATTCATCATGTGAAGCTTTTGGCTGGTTCTCAGTCACTTCTGAGACATTTTGAGTAATTAGGGAAAAACCTTGAACATTTTGCTTTTTTGTGTTTTTTGAATTCATTTTGAACACGTTTGTGTTGTTCCGAACAATCTTCAGTCACTTCGGACAAACTGAACAATTCTGCAGAATTTCTGAAGATCTGTGGACAAAACAAAACATTTCAGGAAACACTGTGTGACATCTGATGGTCAGAAAACAATCCCCGTGATCCATTACTGCCGGTACTGACGTCTGTGTTCTGTTCTGTGTTCTGGCTGACAGCTCGGTGGAGTCGGTGACGGGCGTGGCGGCTGCTGGAGGAACGTTCAGCATCTTACTGACAGGAACTCTTTACCTCCAGGTAGAAGCTGAACACACAAAACCTTGTTGTTGTTTAGAAACGACCAGATGAGCCCATGAGTGAGAACTCTGAGACGTGTGGGTCCATCTGGAAGGTTCTGAGTTCAAAACTGTCATCCTCACACTCACACTAAAATCTCCCCCAAAAAATGTTTGGTTGAATCAGATCCTGTAGAACCAGAACCGTCCTCCTCCTGGTTCTGATCCTGTAGGACTGTAGAACCAGAACCGTCCTCCTCCTGGTTCTGATCCTGTAGAACCAGAACCTTCCTCCTCCTGGTNAGACCAGGACCAGGACTAAGACCAGGACCTGGACTAAGACCAGGACTGAGACCAGGACCTGGACCAGGACTGAGACCAGGACTCAGACCAGGACCAGGACTAAGACCAGGACCTGGACTAAGACCAGCACCAGGACTCAGACCAGGACCAGGACTAAGACCAGAACCAGGACTAAGACTAGGACCAGGACTGAGACCAGGACCTGGACTAAGACTAGGACCAGGACTGAGACCAGGACCAGGACTCAGACCAGGACCAGGACTAAGACTAGGACCAGGACTCAGACCAGGACCAGGGGCTTGTACCTGGACGGTGTGCGGCAGGTTTTTGATGGACAGGTAAAGCCAGATGCTGAGCTTCAGAGGGAGGATGTCCTGCCAGTGAGGTCGGTCCTGAACTCTGAAAAACAGCAGATAAGAAACACAAACAAACAACAGGAGGCGAAAACAAACAGCGATGATGACGATGATGTCAGAGGCGCACCTGTCGGCTCGCTCCTGACCGATACACCTGAGCTCCTCTGCTGGTCTGGAGCTCAGCTTCTTCTTCTTCTCCTTCTTCTTCTTGCTCAGCAGCTCGTCCTGAAACAGAGAACACTGTCAGGTCACATGATGAGCTCGGCTCCGATTGGCTGCCTGCTGGGCTCTGATTGGCTGCCTCACCAGCTGCTTCTCCAGGTAGATGGACCAGATGACGGCGTAGTGTCCCACGGTGAGGATGAGGAAGAGGAGGAAGCCCAGCTCTGCGTTGCTCATCTTCCTCACCCGTCTGTAGTAGAAGACTGGCTGCCTCCAATCAGGAAGCCCGTTCACCAGGATGTCATCGTACCTGCAGAGACACGCCTGTTTAGACTCTGAGCTCTGATTGGCTGAGAGAAGGTGATAATAAGCAAATCTCACCTGCGTCGTCTCTCCTCGTCCTTCAGGACTTCATAAATGGCCACCAGCTGTAAACAAACAAACAGTGTTTTCCTGTGTTTGTTGTCTCTGCTCTTTGTTTGCTGAGTGTGTTTGTTTGTGGTGTTTTGTTGTCACCTGTCTGAACTGAGTTTCAGCGTTTTCATCTTTGTTCTTGTCAGGATGCAGGATCAGAGACAGACGACGATACGCCTTCTTGATCTCTGCTGGGGAGGCGTCCTGGACAGACGGACACATTTCAGACGTTTCCACAGAATCAAGGCTTCATGAAAACAGTTTGCATCATTAAAGTGTGGAAAAAGTGGGTTTTGCCTCAAAAGCACAACAGCTGATTCAAGGTAAGAATGATTTCATTCATGACTCATCAGAAACATCAGTGACGCTCTGTTTGCTGTCAGCAGCACCAACTCAGAACCTGACGGTAAACGATGTTCTGTGTTCTCCTACAGAACCGACAGTCAGTTGTTCACCTGTGACGTCTGTTTACAGTCCAGGTGTGTTAATATTCAGGTAACATGTAAACAGACCAGACCACGTGGACACTGTTTATGTGGTAGAAGTATCTGCACGAGCTCCCAGCTGCTGTTAACATGAAGCTGTTTCCGCCACAGTGTGAGCGGACAGCGCGGCCTGCGTCCTGTGTTAGCGAGCTGCTAGCCTGTTAGCCTCACTCGGCTGGACTTACTGCTCCGGTTTCTTCTATAGCTCTCGATGCTAACTAACTTAGCCTCATTGCGCGTGTACGTGGCATTCATTTATTAGCAGTAGCAGCCAGCTAGCCGTCTCTCTGCGGTTACCATGGAAACAGTTAGCCGTTAACACGGACCTGGTCCAGGTTTAGGAACTGGTAGAAGGTCTGCGGGATCTCCTCCACCAGGTCCAGCAGCTCCAGGTCCGCGTCCCAGGCGCTCAGAGGTGGGGCCGCCAAGACCAGCAGCAGCAGCCAGGGCAGCAGGGAGCGGCACGGACCGGTACGGACCCCCATCACCGAAAAACCGACCCAACACACCAGAGGGAGCAGCGGGTAAAGACACGAGAGCAGTCCGCTCTGTGAGCCACGGACACAGCGGAACCTGCGAGTTCAACAGCGCTGACAAGAGCTCAGCGACCCCTGCAGGAGGGGCGGAGAACTGCAGGCTGGAAAAACCCCAAAGAAAACTAAGAATAGACATGAAACACGATCGATGTCCGATATCTACAGCTTTTAGCATCATCTCTGTGTTACTCAGACTTTGGTTGTTCGGGAACCAATCTGGCGGCTAAAGGACACACCTGTTAAAGGTGAGAATGATGATGGTCCTTCCTCCTCAGCTTCCATCATCACCTCTATGGTGCTGAACTGTGTCGTCCTGCAGGAGGCGCTGTTACTCTGAACATCACA